GTGTGTAAGTGTATTCCTCCTCCTTGTAGGCCCTAGCAGTAGCCTTTTGTAGGTTGGTTTCTCTTGGACTGCCACCGTTCGCAACGCAATTTGACTTACATGCGCATCGACAATGCTCTTCTGAAACAGAGCGTGTATCGGAAGCCAACAGATGAAAATGAATGCTACAAAGAACAGTATCATTTTCGTACTGCGTTATTATTTATTTCTTTTACTTATTTTCAATCTTTCGACAAAGAACAGAAAAAGTTAAACAGAGGTGCCGAGGAAAAGCAAAAGTTAAAAAACTGTCATCAATTGGTGTGCTTAAACGAACCCCTGCCAACAAAAACAATACAAACCAAAATCATTCACAGGAAACAATGAAAGGAACAAGTAATCAAAAAGCAAACACACACACACACACACAACAATAAAAAAAATAATAAAATAAAATAAAAATAAAAATAAATAAATAAAAAATATAAATATAAAATAAAAATTTAAAAATGTTAAGATATATATTATTCAAAATTAAAATTATTAAATTATTATAAATATTTATGTACAGTTATCACATCCAAAAACCGTACATTCGTTATTCAATTGTTCGCAACTGATTCTGCTATTTCCGAAGTCGCCGCGTAGTATGTTCAGGTTGCAGATAGTTAGCACAGAAAGAGAGTATGTATAGATAAAACCCGTGGTTGTTGAGAATATGGCGATGGGAATCGACATTAAAACCTGAAACTAAATAAGTATAATCTTAAAACTAATTTGATTGGCCTAAGCGCATCATGTTCCCAATGTGAAAAATCAATAAAATGAGATTAGATGTAATGGGTCCTAAAAAATATATAGGCCTACACAACGATAAAGGCAGATAGGCCTACCCTGTGACAGAGTAAATGCTCGAATAAGCGCAGCTCTTGAATAAGCGTCGCACTATTTACCTGATTATTTTCGCTAAGCGCCGCTCTCGCTTAAAATCGAGAGAATAATATTACCCTGTGTGTACTGAAACACTTTGAGAAACAGTGTTTTAAATACAATGTATAGAGTGTTAAAATTAATAAATAACACAATAAAGACACAAGCATTTAAAGACACAAGCATTTATTTATAAATGTTTACTACTCAATTTCAGAACATCAAGTTGGTCCGCAAATAATAACGGAAAATGTACCCTATGAAATCTAAATTCAGACGAGAATATTGGCCATTTCCTCTTAGTCTGCCCAGCGCTACAAAA